ACCTTCCTCTGTCTCAGTCTTGCTGTCCCTTTGCTCTCATCCCTGCATTTTCATGCCCCTCTCCCGGCATGCTGGTGTCCCAGCCTTGGTGTCCCATCCCAGCTTTCCCCCCGCTATCCCTTCCCATCTGCACACACCCCACTCTGGCTCCTGATGCTGGTACCCGGCTCCCAACCCTTCATCCAGCATCAGGGTTCATCTGCCAAGCCCCTAACCTTCAAATTGGAGCCTTCTCCTGCCCTGGACTTCTGCAGTGCTGAGGAGAAGACAAGTTTACGACCAGAGAGGATCATTTGCTTTTCCAGGTCAAGCTGTATAAGGAACCTGGGGAGCCCATGAGTGGCACAGCCCCTACTGCCAGCCCACATCAGGACCTCTGGGAAGGTGAGCAGCCACCCTGACTTCTGTATCTCATTGAGTAATGATGTATTTCCAAGAAAATGGGGGAAAAAAAAAAAAGCCACAAAACCTCTTGATGTTTTCACACATAACACTGTGCAATTCTAACACAATTTTAGCTGCAGCCCAGCTCTGCGAGATAAGTCGCCACCAGGTTTTATCAGACCTTAGCAACATGATTTTAGGGAGCCATGACCGAACCTCACGCCCACAGGTTGTAACAGGGGGAGAAAGTCAGTGATCTCGTGGCAGGGAGCAGCAGGGACACATCAAAGTACTCACCCACCCTTATCAGTCTCCTTTGTTACTACATTTCTTCAAACCTACCACAGCTCCTTCAGGCATCCTGCCCCAGACACCCCCTGCACCTCCTGGGTACCAGCACCCTTTGGAGGTCTCTGGTTCCAGCAAAGCCCCTGTGCTCAGACACATCATCTCATGTCCCTTCATCATCTGACATCTCCTCTCCTCGGGACTACGTCTCCCTCCCCCAGCTCTTCACTGCAATCCCCACCATTTTCCACCATCATTTAAGTTTCTGAAGTAATTTCTTTTTTGTCCTTTTTTTTTTTTCCTTAAAGCAAACCATCTACCATATGTTCACCCCTGAAAGGGGTAATTGTTAACAGATCATTAAAACACCGTGGCGAGTGCTCTGAGATTCCTTCCCTCCATCTTATGCATTATCCTGTCTCTGTCACCCTTTCAATGCAGCTTTGAGGGCTCTGCTTTTCTAACTTCCTCCTCGGGAAGAAGAAAAAAAAAAAAGAGAGAGAGAGAAAGAGCCACTAAAGTGACCCTCTTCACAGCTCTCCTCCTTGCTTTTCAATGTCTTTTTTTTGACACCCAACAATAATTGGGGAGGGGGGGCTGGCGTGCTGCTGCCACCGGGCTAGGGGTGGCAGGGTTGCATCCTGCCCCGTTCTCGGGGTTGGAAAGGCAGGATGAGGTGTGGCAGGGATGCTCCAGCCACCCCAGAGGCACTGATGCCCTCTCCTTGCCACGGGATGCTCGAAAGGCACATCCCATCCGTCCCAGTCCTTTTGTCCCCACTACTTGGCTGTGGGATGACCTCCTGACATGCACACATCCCACTGAGATAGAGAGTGTTTCTCACAAAGTCTGTTTCCCCAGGTGGATCAGAGACTTTTGGTGGCACAAATACCTTTTTTACAGAAAGAAGCTAATGGTTGGCTGGGAACTGATCTAAGCCCAGAGACAGAGATGTTCTGAGGGGCTTGGACATTTCACCTCCCTTTCCTGGAGGATGAGCACTGTTTTAGGAGACACCAAACGCCAAGAAGCTGGGGACCATCAGAGCATGGACTGCTTTTACCCAAGCCACAGTCTCAGCTGAGGTGAGCACAGCACTAGCTTCTGTCCCCTTTGATGCGACGGGAACCTTTTCAAAGCTGTGCCCACAGGTCTCCCAGCCCCACACGCAGGGAGAGGAACCCCAGGAGGGCCATAAGCACCCTGAGCAGCAGCAGTCTTGGTCAGCACAGGGTTCAGCGATGCTGTTTTACATGGAAAGCAAGCCAGCAAAGCTACGTCAAGCCTGGGACATGTATGACGTAGCAAGCGAGGTGACGGAAAATCTTCACCATCAACTCAGATTCCCTGAGCCAGGAGGGCTTGCAGCTGCACAGATCCTCACCACTGAGAGAAAAGCACAAGAGAGGTAAAGGCATGTCACGACAGCAGCGTTACATGCGCCCCGTTCCAGCGTGACAGCTGCCAAACTCACCGCGAGCATCAGCACCAAATCTCTTGGGGTGAGGGACACCTCAGCGCAGGCTCCCTACTCTCGTGATTGGAAAGGTCAAGGTTTTCAGAGCTCACGCTTACGTTCCTTACCTTCATCTTCTCCCCTTCAGCCATGGACTTGGCCATTCTCCCAGAGGACCACCTCCCCCAATTCACCACAGCCTGCAGTTGAACTTCGCGCAGCGTTTGCATCACTCCTCTGCTGTAAGCACCTTCCCCAGCACCAGCACGAAGCCCTTTGAATTTGCACTTAACCATCCGGGCAAAGGAGCGTGCTGCACCAGACCAGTGAGTGCCTGACATGCGTGCTGGGAAAGACGGGGAGGGGACAGCTGTCCTGGTCAGCAAAACCAAGTTGTGTGGAAAAAACCAGAAACTTCAAAGCTCTGCATGCAAAATATTAACCCCTGTATCTGCAGAGACAGGTTTCAGGCCCTGACCTGAACCCGTACGAGTGCAAAACCAGTCTGGGGCTGGGACAGGTTCGAGAAGCACGACGGACTGGATGTGATTTTGGCAAAGTTAAACAGTAGTATTGCTCTCACGCCCTCTCTCCCCTCCTTTCCAGAAAGGCATAGGCATCAAAGGAAGGTGCAAATCCAAAGCAACTTCATGTGGCATCAGTGTGCTCAGGGTCAAGCTGATCTCCCTAAGAAGTCCTAGTGAAGAAAAGGGCCTTAGGAATATAAATCTGCAAACCAATTGTTAGTTAAATGGTTTTCAGGTCTTAAAATGCAGATTTATTTATTTTTTTCCTCATCAGAAGGAAATTAGCTCATCCCACCTCCAAGGCTGGTTTTCCAGGATAGGTTGTAACAAGGAGCCATACCAAGTGCCCCTCTGCCTCATGAACAGATGCTAATTGCTGCAGAGCTTCAGGGCTAATGAGAGATTTTCAGCTTTGTGGGGGGACAAAGCCCATGAAAGTCGTGCCTAGAGAAACCCCGGTTATGCCAAGCAGAGATTTAATTAGCACCTTGCGATATGGCATATCCACACCACCAGAGGCAGAGCTGCTCAGCAGTTCTCCTCCAAAACGGCGCTAATTAAAGACTTTTATCACATAACATCACTGTACAGCATGTACAGGGCATGATGCTCCAGCCAGACCCTCTGCTGCCCAACATCTGTGGAGGGCAAAGTCTTTGGGGAAAGCAGAAGCACGCAGAGGATGAACCGTGAGAAGCTCACAGTTGTCAGAGCACATCAAAATTGCACACACACCAAAGAAAATCCCCAACAGTTCTGGGATTTTGAGGAGTTCCCTCCGTCTTTTAAACGGCAGGCAAGAAGCATTTTTAAAAGCAGGTCAGGGATGCACCCTGCAAGGAGTGGTCCAGCTGTGGCTGGCAAGAATTGAATCCAATCAGCGCTCTTTATCCATTTTAAAAATCAACTTTCACATCAGCTGCATGGAAAAGCCCAGACGACCATCGCAAAATCAGACCCAGGACAACACTGTGAGTGCCTCCCTTCGCACGCTTCCAGCTGATTTGCTTGTGGATGTGCGTACATAAAAAGAAGATGCTGGCAGCTGCAAACCCATTGAAAAAAAAAAAATCTGTCTATTAAGGAAACATTCACCCTTAAAACACACCTTGCTTCTTAACTTGCCAAAATACAGAGACGAGGGAAATTTAGATGATGACAATATGGAGCAATTAAATATGTAACCACGTGGGGGACCCAACGCTAGAGCGTGCAGTGTAGGAAATAACCTCTCGCTGTGGACAATCGGCTCCATAACACAGCAGGATCTCTCTCTTTGAGCCCCAACAGAAACACTGAAGAACTGGATGAGTCATTTTTTGGCTCCTGGAAATGCGTGAAGCTTCCTAAGAAATCCTCAGTGAAGGCAGAGAGCTAAGCAGCAAACACACTGAGTTTTGAAGAAAGAAAAAAAATGTAAATTATAAGAATCTTATTATTCTCCAATAATAAGAATACTATTCTTCTTCAATAATATTATTCTCAGGCATGGAAGTAACAACAAATATTCCTCTGTGTGGCTTAGCCGAGTGTGAGAAATTTTAGACAAAGTCCTTTTGCTTTTTCTTTTTAAAAAACTCACAACTTACTGTATTTATTTTGACAAGAGGAATAAAATTCGGAAACATCTCAACAAACACAAGACCGAAAAACATCATAAATCATTTAGTTAATTTACTAAAGAGCAAAAATACAGTACATACAAGACTCAAACAGTTCAGAATTTTATACAAAAGCCAGACAGTAATCAATTGCATTAAAAATATATATCAATCATTACCTGACCAATTTGACACTGGCATTTGCCCCATTATTAAAAGGCACAAAAGACTGAGCAATGAGAATGTTCAGTACCACGTCCGTTATTGTCAGTAAATTCATCAATATTAGCATAAAAAAACCCCACACATTTAATATTCACCACGTAGATCAGTAAGAAACCTTTTTTTGGAAGGAGTAAGAAAATAAAGTTGGAAAGGACAAACACTGAAATGAAGCATCCCCAAGATGCAAAGGCTCTTCCTAGAATTCTACCCTTCAAAGTCTTCCCACAATGGTTTTCCCTGCTGTGCTATCACTTGGCAATCATTAAAAAAAACAAACCCCAAAAAATAAAATTAAAAGAGTTAATGATCCACAAGCCCACCTTCCAGCAGCATTGCAGTACGGCAGCAGCATCATCGACATCCCTTCTAGTGTGTCTTCGGTTGTGGGCACACCGAGAGCAACAAGGCAACACCCACAGTCTGTAACAGCTTGCGCAAACCAGAGAACGGGTGGATTTGCCTTTTTTTTTTTTTTTTGCCTTTTTTTTTTTCCTCCCACTGGATTCGAGGTTTCTGAAGTCACCCCGGGTAACACATGCAGCAGCCAGCTCCAGAGAAGTCAGGCGCAGAGCTCTGTTCTTCAAACAGTCTTTCGCTCATCTTGTGCTCGGTGATGATATCTTCCACCCGAGTGATGTAAAGTAAGGACAGCAACACTCCCAGAAACTGCGAAAGGAAGGGGCATTTCCAGTCAGAGATTAAATACTGCTTATCTTAATGCTTCTCGCAGCAGTTTTTGCAAATTACATACACATACATCCGATATATGGGCAGGTACACAGTATATATACAGACAGAAACTCACATTGTTATGCTTCTTTGCATAGAGGGGCATAAACGGATCACTTTTGTGAAGAGCTATACAACAGAAAAATTACCATCCCACTGCCTTGGAGCATTAAAAAGTCTTGGTGGATGCAGCTCAGCAGGGAGAGGATTCAAAAAATCCCAAGCAAAAACCAAACTAACCCACGTATCACAGTAGCTGCTAAAATTTCTGCTCAGAATGCTACTAAATTGCTGGAAGGCCACCTCAGCTTATCAGTTATGTTCAATTTAAATAAAAAATGCTAATTAAGTATAGTCACACCGTAGCAACAAATCAGATCCTCCCTTTGCTGGGTAACGCGCTGGCTCCTCCTTACCTGGGGTAGCAATATTCCGAGCAGCACGCCAGCCATGATGCTGTAGTTGTCCAAAAACCAAATGAGCACGGCATTCGTGCACCCACGGACATATATAACGTCCTGAATGCTCAGGCGCTGTGGAACAACAGAGCAAACACGTTCAAACAGGCGGTTGCACCAGCGCATGGGCATGGAAACACGTAACAACGCAAAATTCAGGCTGGCAAATCTGGTCCTCCTTCCCATCCACTGAATTTAACAGAGACCCCATTACTAATTCTACCGTCTGTTTTTAAGCTGCTCTGCACCTGAACAAGTTATTTTATTTCATTTTTTAAATCTTTTTCTTTGAAACTACTTGTCTGACAGAAATGCACTAGATTCTCATTTTAGATCGCTTGGAAAGTAAAGGAGTCTCTCTTTCATCTCTGCTTCCAAGCTGTAAGTACGGCAGCAGAAAACAGAAAAATATAAACCACGGAACTGGGCGCTTTGCAACAGACTCTAAAAAAAAAGGTCAGGAAAAGTGGATTTCGGCTTTAGCCCCGCAAGCTGCACAGCACCATGACCCCAACTCATAATATAGAAAGCACTTGAGGTTGCAAAGAGTCCTGGGCAGATGAATGGGGTGAAGTTAAGCATATGCTTAAGTGCTTTGGGTGTTAGAGCCAGGCTGCGGCGTTTAGGTGATTAAGCCATAAATCAGTGAAACTAAATGAAGACAGGTCATACGGGAAGATAACCAGTAATCCCCAAAACCAACAACTGAAGCCGGCAATTGTCCGCCAAGTGTCTCAAGTGAGCTGGGGAGAAGGGCTTTTTCAGACCAGCTAGGAGTGGAGAACTCCAGGCAGATCTAATTACCGATTTTTCTTCTTAATTACTCTGCAATTAGTGCCTCGAGCCAGCAGCTTCTACACTAGAGTCACCAGGGCTATTCCCAAGAGGGAAGGCTGAAGGAGGAGGTGGCCCCATCCCGTTCCTGGAGGGAGGGAGGAGAGGGCTGCCAACACAACCCGGGAATTCCCACTCTACTTCCAGGAATAACTATTTACAGGCTTCAAATTAAAACATCCGCTACTGGGACATAAAATACTTAGAAACAGCTAAGTTGGCTTTACCAAAATCAGTTTTACTCAGTGAGGAACTTTGGCTTTTAAGTATTAGAAGCTTTCCGCAGGTCAAGTGACTGCTCAAAAGTAAGAAAGCAGCTCTCTTGGCGTTAATTGTGCAGTTAGCATTAAGGGGCATGAGCTGTGGGAAGACTTGCTCTGTGCACGCCAAACAAGGAATTTGTGGAAGACATGAAGAAGCGAAGACACCACAATCAAAAAAGGATGGGGCTTCTACTATCTCTTCGGGAAACCCATGCCAGGGTTTCACCACCTTCGTTGTCAAAAACGTGTCTTCCTCATATCTAAATCTCTTTTAATTTACAACCATTAACCCATATAACTGACCAAAAAAAACAAGCAGGGAAGCACAACCCTTTGCCACGACAGGACGGACACTGGTTACGCTACCTCTTTGTCAATGGTTTTGTATCCACACATGGTGTTGATAATGCCTGTCTGAAAAGAAAAACAACAAGTATCAACAGCAGCAGAACACAAAAAACACCTCCCAAAAGTATTTTCACTCTCCTTGTGTTCATCCACCTCATACAACAGCAACAACAGGGTTACTTCCCAGGCCAACATCGGTTTCTTCCAGCAGCCCCAGGGTCAGATTTAGATAGAGGTCGACATGATTTTAAAGAAAACAGTATTGCCAGCGTGTCACGACATAAGGCATTCAACCATACTGTCCTGGTTTGAACTAAACAGAACTGACTCTATTCAGTGCTTTTTACTTTTGAGCAAAACCAGCATGGCACCAGAAACAAAAGCTAGCTACAAGCTGTACACCACAGCTGTTTCCACAGAAAACCCAGCTGGTTTTAATTTTGAGGCCTTAATAACTCAATACATCTTATTAAGAAAACCAGGGGTTGACATCATGCCATCATGATGACAAATTAAATCTCAGACATATCTAAACCCCTAAAAAGGTCCAATACTATGACTGCTTACATGAACATTTTACAAGATCAAGTTTATTATATTTTATAT